CCCCCCCCCCCCCCCCCTCCCCCCCCTCCATCTCTCGATCTCGTTCTCCCTCTCTTCTTACCCCCTTCCTCCCTCTCTCTTTCTCCCCCTCCTCTCTCTCTCTCTCTCTCTCCCTTTCTCTCCTCTCTCCCTCCCTCCCTCCCTCCCCTCTCTCCTTCTCGCCCTGACCCCCTTACCCCCGTTCTCCAGAACGACGCCAGCCCGTACGTCGAAGAGTGGATCACCCGGTGCCTGCTCATCCGCGGAGCCATCTACCCCCCGTCCCAAACGCCGCCGTCTCCGCCGCCGCCGCCACCGGACGCCGGGAACGGATCATCCCCGGACGCTGACTCCGCCACCACCGCGGTGGATGCACCAGCAGCAGCAGCAGCTGCGGCGGTGGCGGCGGCGGCGGGCACCGAAAGATCGGCAACAGATAGACGGGGACGGGGGGGGCGAGGAGGGTCTGCTGGTAGCGGCGGCGCTGGCGGGGGCACCGCGGATGGGACCGTCGGGTCGGTGATCCCCGCGCGCGCGCGGCGGCTGGTCTGGCGCAGGGTGGTGGACGCCCTGCTGCTGTCGCTGCTGCGGGGTTTCAGCCGCGTGAGGCGGTGCAGCACGGAGGGGCGGGCGCTGATGAGCATGGATCTACAGGTGCGGTCTCGCTACTCTGCCGTAGTCGGCCGTGCCCGATTCTATTTTTCGTTAGGGCGCTCCTCGTGCCGCTGTTTTTGAGTCGTCCGTCGCAACCGCCTGAAAATCGGGCAGAGGACAGGAGGCGAGAGGGTTGTGGGCAGGGGACGGGCGGGGCACGGGCTGACGTTTCGGTATGTCTTCGCGTACCGACGGTCTGTGTCGAGAGCTAGCAAAGGCGATTGGTTCCTACAAATCATCTGCCAAGTTGATGTGCTTTTGAAATAGAGAGGGATTCCCTGACCTCATCCCTAACCCCCAACCCAAACCCTGCCTTCGCATGGCTACTGCATCGGAAACGACACCGCTTCACCCCGATCAATATCCTCGCAAGGCCACCTGCATCTGAAACGACACCCTTTACCCCGCCGCACCGATCCAGGCCCTGGCTCTGGGCCTCGAAGATCCGGCGGCGACGCACGCCGCCAAGGCTCACGTGCACGCCTACGTCAACGCGTTCTACTTTGGGGATGAAGACTTGCACAAGTGGATCAAGGTGGGTTGAGTGGGCTTGACTTGACATGGCTATGGCTTGGCCTTGGCTTGGCCTTGGCTTGGCTTCGCTGATTGGATTATCTCCTGCACACGTACGCGTTCGCGCTTTTGGACGTGCCGCAACGTACTGCGTTTTGTTGGTGTCGTGTTTGGCGGTGCCCAACCTGTCTGAGTCTGTGTGCAGCAGTCGTGGGGGGCTCTAGACTATTCGGCGGGTACGCCAGGTCGATTCACATATGACCATGTCGTTTCGGGTTTTGTAGTCCCAGCAGGGAGAGCTTGGTTTGTGGGCATGGGCAAAAAGAGTGCCTGCATCAAGGACCCTCGATCTTTTGAGCGGCGTCCCTAGCGGAAGCACTCCCTTTGATTCCACCCAGCCATTACGTGCAGCACCAAGCCTTGGACGAGGCGTGTTTCTGTAGTGAACGACAGCTTCAAGTACAGGAAGATGTGTCGAGAAGTCGCGATTCACTCTCTTATTGTGGTACACCCACACCTACTATTCATCCACCACCAAGAAAACGTAGTCATTGAGATCCATATCCATCCCCCAATGACTCCAACGATGACCACGCCGTGGGCGAACCGAACCAAGAAAAAAACATGGCTGCAGAAAAACTGTCCGGGTTTGTACCTGTGTTGGGCTGTGCATGGTTGATCTGCTAATATCGCGTGTCGCCCGACATGCCGCTTTTATGTGAGAGTATGATGTATTGGGCTCTTATGTTGGACCGAAAAACGCAGGAGCGGTGGCGGAGCTACCCCATGTACCAGATGGTGTCGCTCCTGCAGTGTGCGGACGGCGCAGTGGCCTCCAAGGTCCTCCGAAAGCGGCGGGTCAAGGACCTGGTGGCCCAGGTGGAGGCGCTCTACCTGCCGTGCTTGAAGGAAAGCGGTGGCGGAACCGGTGCCTCTTCGAGGCAACCGGCGAGGGCGAAGACAGGGAGCACGACCGGCACTCCCCCTGGTGCTGTCCACGGTGCTCCCACGAGCGGTGGGAGGAGCGGCGGCGGCAGCAGCAGCGGGGGCGGTCATGATAACAACTGCCGACCGCCATCCCCCGCTTGCGAATGAATCTGATTGGCTGGCCGTTTGACAGTCTCCGGGACGCCGAGCGCGAGCCCGACACGGTGGTCGGTTGTTGTCCGCGGCTGCTGCTGCTTGTTGTTACCGCTGTGGTCCGGAAAGAGCTCGACCTACGTGCCCCACTCCCTCTCGCGGATCGGTGAACGGAGACTACGGAGGTTTTATTCGTCATCTGTTGTTCCGCACGTAGGATGGGACTGGATTCTCTCCGCGTGAGTGCTTTTTTGAAGGATGTTGTTGTTGTCCTTTCATCAAAACCGGTGGGACCGCTTGTTCAGTGCGTACGTGCTCTTGTTGCCTGCGCGTCATCGCCATTTTTCCGTGGTCACGAGAGCTAGTCAACACGACGTATGGCGATGTAAATAGAAAAGGACTCGTGACCAACGAATTTCTTTGTTCCAGAAATATATCACATGATATCGTTCTTCGTGTATTCGAATTTGGGTGGAATTTGCACCGCATGAAGGTGCACCTGCGGGTGTTAGTTTGTTCGCTGATATAGCGTGGCTGCGGCAGTGACGTGTAGTAGACAAAGGGGCTGCCGCACACCAGCGCCAAGACGACGAAAGTCAAAGGCACGACAAACGAAGGACGGGGGGCTCGACTAACTCCCACCTTTGGTCATCCAGAGCTACAAAGAAGAACGAATGATGGTTCCTCAGCGGTAACAGCAGCAAGCAGGCAATGCCACCTCCAGGAACAAGAAGAGCCCGAAGCACCCTACCTACCTGCAGACGGAGCGCGCGTTAGAGAGGTCACCCGTCGCACCTCCATACGCTCGGCAGCACCCCCGCCTAGTTTCCTCCTCAGCAAACCCGGGGATGATTTCCTGCTATACCCTGGGTGTCAGGTGGGTGACAAACCACGCATTTATCGATTCTTGCCTCTGCCAGTGCTCCCCTTTCGAAAGTCCATCGAAATGTTCCAGTAACGGTTCCGCGCCATGCACGTTGCGGTGGTGGCAGCCGCTAAACATCGAACAACACAGATCGGAGTAGCGGAACGCCAAGGGCACTTCATCCATACCCGTACCGCAAGCCCTCGTAAATTCCTCTTCTTAGCCAGTTCGCGGGGTTGTGTGTGGCCATCAAACCTTAATTTCTGGACGTGAGGTGCAACTAACTACTGTTTGGAGCCGCGATCACCCAGGTGGTAAAAGCTACACTTTATAGAGTTTGGTAAGGTGCCTTGCACTCTACAGGCGCGGGTGTAAGTTGCCCCGCATCTACACGGGGCAACGACGCAGGTACACAAAGTAGGTCTTGGTACGAGCCTGGCGCAACCTTTCGTTCGATCGATCGGGCTGGAAACAAGTTGTCTGTCTGCTGTCCGCAGCAGCGGGGAAACAGGAACGACCTCCATAGCGGCACATGCAGCCACAGCGACTGGCGCGATGATGAGAACGGGGGGGGGGGGGGGGGGGGGG